GAGGGAACCCTTGCAGACTTACTTGTCGAAATTGATTCCTGACACATATGCCTCTTTCCTGACATACAAGAAGGACGACCAGTCCTCTATGTCGTTGTGGAAAAGAGCCATCTACGGAATGGTTTGGCAGCATTGCTCTGGTAAAACTCTTCAGGAGCGACCGGAGGAAATCGGATTCGTATTCAACGTATGATCCGTGTGTTGCCAACAGGAAGATTGAAGGATATCAGCAAACGATACGCTTCCATGTGGACGACCTGAGGTCGAGCCACCGGATGAAACTGGTAAACAATCGAACCCTGGAGGTGTTTAATGACAAGTACAGGTACTATGGAGCCGTGAAGGCAACCGGGTCCCAAGCATGACTACTTGGGTATGACGTGGACTTCTCAGACCAGGAAAGGTGATCATGATATGATAGATTACATCAAGAAATGGTCTCAGAGTTCCATGGACTTTGGGGCAATGAAAAGGTGTCCAGTGCAGCTCCTGCTGACCTATCCAGCTCTGGTGATGGCACCATCCTGAATGACAAGAACAGGGAAACCTATCATACCTTTGCAGCCAGCTGTTGTTCCTGTGCAAGCGTCTCGACCAGATGTGCAGATTCTCACTACGTGTTATGAACTCGTGTCAGAAGCCCAACATCTGATGATTGGGACAAGTTGGTCAAGGCCTAAAGTTTTTGGATCAGACGGCGCAGAACAAGTTGATCCTACACATTGATGACATAGCATCATAACTTGGTGGGTGGATGCATCATTTGCAGTCCATCCTGATTACCGTTCCCATACAGGAGGAGTATGTCCTTTGGAAGTGGCGCGGTGCTGTCTGTGTCTGCGAAACAGAAATTGAATTCAAGGAGCAGCACGGAACGGAATTGATTGAGCTGACGATGTCATGTCGCCCATGTGTGGGCAAAGTTGTTCCTTGAAGAGCAGGGGATAGTTTGTGAAGGACAACATCCCATGAGGACAACAAAAGCACGATCATTCTTGCGAGAATGGCAAAGGCAGTTCGGAAAGAGGACTCGGGCCATCAACATTTGTTTCTTTTTCATTCACGATCAGATTGCAAAGGCAACCTCAGAGTGTTGTACTGCCCAACCTTGGAATGCGTGGAGATTTTTTCACGAAGCCCCTTCAGGGCAAGCTCTTCCATGAGCAAGGGCTTTCATCATGGGGAATCCACCCCTTGTTTGATTGCCTAAATTTATTTATTCGTTCCACGGAGCCACTTAGGGCACCGTGCAGGAGTGTGTTGGAGGAAACATACCTGACACCTCTTTACTATTGACTCGTGTATTAATCATCTAGTCCGGTTCGCATGTAAATTCATCATGCAAGGAACCAAGGGAGTTTTAGGTCTAAAGTGTTACGGGGGTCCTTATATCCAATTCAATCACAAGAATTGCTATGCACCACCAGAAAATCCTCACTTTTGCTTTTCAGCTTAATCTAAAACCAAATTACTCCCCAATAAGCTGCAGTATTACTAGCAAATAACATCAGTTGCTGCATGCCTCCACCCATGGTGTTAGATCCCATTGTTGCCATGACCTTTTTGGTAGCCGCTGCGGTTTTCTTCCGAAATGGACCACAAGGCACCATTGTGGACTTGTTTTCTTTTTAGTTGGTCGTGAAACAGCCAGTTTACTATAGAATATATAAATTCGTGAGAGTGCTACCAAGAAAGGGGTTCTAGATTTCCTGAATCTAGAATTGTGCCCACTGATATATCTGCGGCTCCGTCACTTGCCACCAGGAAGGGTACCGCCATAACCATACTAGACTATGCATCACTGAGTAGGCGTCAACGGTGAATTCCAGTTCCTGGAACAGTGACTGCTCCCGCGGCTCCAGAGTTGCCAGGAAACCCTCAAAAGTGTAAGGTGTGGGAGAAACTGGGCTGTCAGGAATGTCTGCCGCGTAACCACTGCCAACTACCACAGTTGCGCGCTGATTGAACTTTGACAAGTCCAGAACCTTTCTACTGCCGGAGTCTGGTTGCACTGGCTGTAGTGCATGATTTCGGGTACTAATATGAATTGAGGGGCACTGACTTGAGAAGCAGCTGAGCACTGTGTCACTCAGGTAGGTATCGTCTGGGAACTCCCAGCGATTGAGAGTCCTTTCCTTCCCTTTTGCTGAAACATCCAGAACTCGCTCTCTTCATTGTCGGCCTGCTGATAGACAACATTATTCAAGATTGTCAACCTCGTAGAAAAAGCGGTGCAGTGTTACCAGCCAACAGCTCTGAAGAAGGTTACGCAGCAGTTATTACTGTCTGCCCTCTCCACCCACACCAGCCACACCGTCTGCTCCAGTGCCCACCAGCACAGTCAACACCATCCATGCAGCCTCTGGTGCGCCACCACAGTCATCACCTAGTAAGACAGCACCCCCAGAATCCGCCACCAGCACTCCTGTGAAGACTACCATCAAGGCACCCACTCAACCATCAGGGCAGCACTCTCCCCAATCAGTTGCTAACTATTTTCAACCATCGTCATCTGCAGCACGGTACAGATCACCGCACCCATGCTACTCACCCAGGACTACCAACCACAGGTCTAAGTCTACCAGCTGCACACTGCCCTCTCATTGGTCTGATGCCATGAATCGGCCCTCCTATGCCTACCAGTGCTCAATGTCCACGCAACCACCACACCGGCGTCATTGCTCCCGTGCCTCTCTAGCTAGAGAGCCCCATTGGGTTTCTGGAGACTAATCCCTCCAGGTCTCACCGCTTGTAGTTTGTCTCGTATCGTTGTGTGACTCTGGTATTGTTGTGTGACTTTCATAGTTGTTTGGGAAGAGTCACAAAAGGTACGATGTGATGACGGGGATACCATAGAATAGCTGGCGATTTTAGCCTTAGGCTCCTTTCTCCAGTCAAGCACCCCTGGAGTTTTTAATCTTTTCTCTCAGGGGGGGCTTTGCATTAGGCCCCTTCAGAAGTGGGCACCTTTGTGTGTCTGAAATTGTCTAGTGCAGTGCGGCCTGAAAATAATATTTCGTCATTTTTAAAACCTTTTTGACCGTGAGACCGCATTGGAATGATGCTAATTCCCTACGTGGCGTTGTTGTTGGGAGGGGAGGAAATGACCAAGGCGGGAAAGCATATCGACCACAGTCCAATGATGAGGAGGATCAATCAAGGAGTGGACGAATTGATGGATAGGCAAATGAAGAACCAGGTGTACTAGTCTGCTAGGGAAAACAATTCGAGTTGTGTGCTGGTGTGCCACTACATATACTTTGCTCACCAGCCTGAGTGCAGAAAAGTAACTGCAACCACTGTTGGGAACCAAAGATACCCCCATTTTAGATGCAGGGCCCAGCACAAGAGCCTGTGGGATGTCATTCCCGCCTGCAACCGGGCCACCTGATTATGATGCCAATGTGGGTCTTCGTGCATTCCATGGTTTTACAATGGTTGCTTTCCGTTGCCAGTACCACCACCATCAACCAATCCAGCGTGACACCAAATTTGTCTATTTGCATATGGAGCTGGAGTCTGGCTAAATAACGCGATGCATAGATTCATCAGTGTTGTCCAAGGTAACAATGCATTTCATGGCAATCGGCTTTGTGCTTTGCGGCATGTTTCTACCTAAGGGCCTGGCACCTGGAACATGTAATCAGATACTGTCAGCGTAACAAGGTTCATTTGCAATACTACACATTCGACCATTTGCGTGAAGCACTCGGTGACGTCTTGGGGATGCTCGTTGATTACATGCACCCTCCATGAATGTCACCTATCAACCTACACGAGGATACCTACGTTGGAAATGGTCCTATTGAAGGTCATGCTGGTAGCAACCCACTTGCAAATATTAATGCTAACAACTGGAATGGCAATAATGTGAACTGATTTCATGAAATGGCTACAAATACCATAATTCCTAATTCAAAAATCAACCGAAGCAATAGATATCACAAATCCATGGTTTCCTCTATCTATAACATTTCACTTGAGCAAAATAGCATGAGCTCTGTGGTACTAATATAATAATACCACGGCCACAAACTATAGCTGTTTTAAACTCATGATCAACTTACGATAGTTCCACACAATCCGTGAATGGATTTTTAAAGCACGAATGAATAATAATGTGAAGTTATTTTGAAGACTCTAGCATTGCATAAACGCAATAAGTTAGATTTCCGTAGTGCTCCTCTATTCTACATCCCCTTTAAATGTTAGATTCACCTCATTTGTAAAAATATGTATGTCCTGAGGAAACGTTATATTGAGTTATTCTATTGTGACTTTCGTTGATAAAAAATGTCGTGGTATAGAAAAGGCACATTTCAAAAATGGATTTGACTGACCCGCGGGAACCCTGCGGGATGATTAACAAATTAGTATACAGGTCTACAAGTTTCTTCACTTTTAATTATTATTATATTTAATGGTCCTATTGAAGGTCATGCTGGTAGCAACCCACTTGCAAATATTAATGCTAACAACTGGAATGGCAATAATGTGAACTGATTTCATGAAATGGCTACAAATACCATAATTCCTAATTCAAAAATCAACCGAAGCAATAGATATCACAAATCCATGGTTTCCTCTACCTATAACATTTCACTTGAGCAAAATAGCATGAGCTCTGTGGTACTAATATAATAATACCACGGCCACAAACTATAGCTGTTTTAAACTCATGATCAACTTACGATAGTTCCACACAATCCGTGAATGGATTTTTAAAGCACGAATGAATAATAATGTGAAGTTATTTTGAAGACTCTAGCATTGCATAAACGCAATAAGTTAGATTTCCGTAGTGCTCCTCTATTCTACATTCCCTTTAAATGTTAGATTCACCTCATTTGTAAAAATATGTATGTCCTGAGGAAACGTTATATTGAGTTATTCTATTGTGACTTTCGTTGATAAAAAATGTCGTGGTATAGAAAAGGCACATTTCAAAAATGGATTTGACTGACCCGCGGGTACCCTGCGGGATGATTAACAAATTAGTATACAGGTCTACAAGTTTCTTCACTTTTAATTATTATTATATTTAATCCATTCGGTCTCTCTTTCCTCAGTATCTTTTCTTGTCTTGTCTGCTTTTTTTTCCGAATGCTTTTGTTGTTGTTTTCTCTTGTTTTCTGAATGCTTTGGTTGTCTTGGGCTTGTCGAATGTTGGCAAAAGTGGGAGCAGCTAGCCAGTTGGCTTCAGCGCTCGACCTTCCCTCGCCTGTCTCGTCCTCAACCCGCCAACGACTGGTTTTCGGTGTGGTCCAACTCCGACAGCTTCCTCTCCTCGGACACGGTGGCCTCGAAAATGGATGTTAGTTTCTCTTCCATGGAAGATAGTTTCTCCTGTTGCCGCACTTCTGCCTCATGCATTCTTTGATACATGATCTCCATGTTGTCAAAGACTGCGGCTGTGTTCTCGTGTGATTCCACGGCAGCCGCATCGCTTGGCCCAATAAGAGTGTCAAAAATCATGTAGAGGACGTCATGCACGATGTTCAACGCAGCAATGACCGCCGAAGCAATAACGATGACTACCGGTAACAATTGGTGCCCGCGTACAGTGAGACAGATGTGTCCAATTGTTCAGTTCCACATCAATAACCAAAAACTGAGCTCGACACAACTTGACTCACCGGCATTACTAACTGAAGCACAACCCGACTGGACGGCACCCGTGAGATCGTCTGGGCACTTGAATCCGTCAACGATGTCCTTGATAATCTCAGCAATCGTAATCACTTGCTGGAACGCAAAGAGAGTGCCCTTGTAAACATTCTCCTTCTTTCCAAGCGCCTTGGAATCTTTACGAGAAGGGGGGATCAGTGGGACCAATTCAGCGTCACCGCCGCCGCCGCCACCGCCACCGCCACTGCCTTGGTCAAAAAATTCCTCGAGGAAACCAAAATCCTTCGTGTTGTGAAGCTGCGCAAAGTTGTCGCAGATGTCCTGGGTTCAAAAAGTCGACAACAACAACAACAACAACAACAACAAAATTCAACAATTCAACGCTGAGATCGTAGCTCCATCAAACACGCGCTGTTACAGGTATTCAATAAAGCAAAACAACTGGCTTACTTCGTCATTTGTATACAACTGGCGAGGATTGGATAACACAACAAAATGTGAGAAATATAGAATGGTGTTGCTGTGTTGACTGCAGATTTCAAGGAGAATATCACCTCTTCATAACCGAAATACTTTCTGCTCATGCCGCACTGCTCAAAATTCATTGGATCTTTGATCACTGCTGGTTCCAAGTATTTCTCGTAGGCAAGTTTGCCGCTGTCCTTGGCCTTCTGTATCTGGTCATCGACACACTCTTTCAATTCAGTGCAGTCAGCTGGGACTGGGCACCATGTCCCTCCTTGGGCATTGCATGCATGTTCATTGATGCCACCAAAAAAGGGACCTGGATGCTTGCATTCCGCGGAGCAGGAATGCTGGGTGTACACAGAAGCAGCACAAGCCAACACATTGAGCCGTAATATGACAGTATGTTTGCTTGCAACACCTTCATTACTCTGCAAATCCTTACCTCCCTACCCCAGTTGTCGCCATTTCCGTCGTATGGTGTGTCAAGACAACAGGTTCCTGCAACAGAAAAGGTGGAGCACCGAGATGAGTGTTGCAAATGGTCGGTATTAGCTAGAGAGCTAGAGAAGAGATTGGTGGATCCTTACCTGGAAATTTCTCCGGCCCTTTTTCCACAACCACCTCTTTGATTCCGCACACGAAACCCACCGAGCTGAGCATGAGCATGACCATGAGCAGCAAGACAAGACAAGGTCAGCCTCTGTCAATCTTTGCACAACATCTTCACCTTGGGGGTCCTCTTACACTTTTTCACCAAACACCATCGCGAAGCCTATCCAAAGTGCGAGCAAAGAATTGAGACTTGACGGCGCTTCCTGGTTGCTTATGATGTGTCCACAATAACACCTACCTTCCTGGACTGTTTTGTATGATCCCCCAAACACTTCTTGCAGCTTCTTGTAATCCGTTATGTCCCATGGGTTTTTCATGCCGAGATACTTGAGGATCGGACCCTTTACAGCAGTCGCTGCTGTCTTGAGATATTCCTTCAGTCTGTCATCATTCTGGGCAAGTTTTACAACCTGAAGAAATTTTTTAGCTGCTTCGTAGCCTGCCGCCGCCTTATGGTGGTATTTGTAATAAGGGTGGGGTGCCAGGAATTGTCTGTGAAGATGCTTGTAAAAATCCTCGAGGAAGCCTCGATACTCTGCTAGATTTTCGTACACCGTTTCCTCCTCGTATACATACAAAGGGGCTCTTGGGTCGACGGCATGTCCATGTTTGTCTCGAGCCATTTTATCGAAATTCAATCCCCTTGGCACAATGAAGTCGTCCTCGAACTTTCCAGAGGACGTTGACGCTGGCAAAGTTCCCCATATAGTCACCATTCTGCCGATGATTGCTACGTTGGTGTTGCCACCCTTCCATGTGCTCCCGTCAAAGCATTTGACCAGGATATGGTGACCCCTTGCTGTGGAGGGATCTAACTTGACCGTATAGACTTGAAGGTGATCGCCAGCATGACTGGTGCCGGTTTTTGTCAGAATTCCGCCAGTGTTTGTCGCGCTATCATAGATCCTTCGCCAAGCTTTTCCATCTGGTGATACATAGTACTGGAATCTCTTGGGGGCAGCACGCCACCTGGGAAACAAGGAACACTCGACACGTGAGTGGCATGCACTTATGACGGCGCCGTTGTAATGGTGGGGGTGATGGCGTGATGCCCAATCCCTTCACTCACACAAATTCAATTCGATCTATCTTGTACAATTTGATATCCGCGCCAATAAAACGAATAGAGACAGTTTTCGCACCCTCTTTTGCTCTGTAAGAAGTGCCCTTATTTTTGTCAAGCAATTTGTCGGCATTCTGACCTCTTTGTTGGGAGTTCGAAGAGGCCAATCTCAAGCGGATTATGGATGCAGCAGCTTCTCTTTTGCTGAACACAAACGGTTCTCCGGCAACACCTAGGGACTGACGAGCTTCAGAGTTGTGGAGTGTCTGGGCACATGTGTACATCTCTCTGCGCGTATGATTTGGAAAAAGAAAGGAGGGGGAAGTCAGCTTGAGTGTTATGGAAGATGACAGCCAGTTGGTTTGTGCCACGTACTTTGCAACATAGTCTGCTGTTTTGAGGCCGACCTTGGTGGCAATCTGGTCCAATCCAATATACACCTGTGTTCCCTCAGAAAAGCAAACCTGCGAAACCCTGTCAAGATAGATACGAAAGAGTATTAGAGCGGGTGTTAGCGGGCAGGGAGCTGGTAAGAGATGAGAGTTGTTTTTACAGCAACACAAGTTCGTACGTCGCGCCCTTGTAAAAAAGGTAAGAGATATTGTGTGTGAGCGGCTTGTTGCCAGCGTGATGATTTGCCATGTGGAAGCCAGCAAATTCCGTGGTCACTTACCTCCCAATGGGGAACTCCTCTGGTAAATGCAGGAAAAAGTGATATGTGAGCCCACGTGCTGACATCATGATGCCCTTGTGATGGGCCGGACACACAATTCCCTGGACTTACTGGTGCTCAATGTTTCTGTGGAACAGCTGGAGTAGGGCATTACATTGTCCCTTGGACTCGGTGGCATAGTCAGTAGGATTGTTCTTATTTTGCTGAAACATAGCCCTTGCAAGTTCACGAGCTCTGATGTGCTTCTCTCGCAGATTGGTTTCATCAAAGTGAATGATTGAATCGTCAAGCTCACCAGTGCTAGGGTCCAAGTCATCACTGTATCACAAGTAAGTCAAACAGCCGAGATTGGTCATGAGTCTAACGTACAGTGCGCGGCATCATGATGCATCCTTAGGGAATCATTTCCTGCAATTGACAGGCCCTTACCTATAGAAGTACACCATGATATCGTACAGGCTCATTTTCTTCGCACACTTTGTCAGTAGCATGCACTGATGTCCCATCAGTTCTTGGTCTGCACCGAGGCGGCGACGACCAGTGTGTGTGTCCATAAACTCACTGTGTGCCCTGGTGGCATGTGCCTGAGCACCCCCAAGGATTCCCATGAGGTGATCATGATTGCCATCATTAAGTCCTTGGTGGATTTTCTTGAAGGATTCGTGTCGGTGATGGTGGGGGCTCGTGTGGCTGCCAAAGGGGTCACGTGAATGAAATCGGCCACGGTCACGGCCACCTGCCGTCTTCTTCCTTTTGGACTTTGAGGATGTGGATGATGAGTAAGCACTTCCAGTGTCATTCTGAAGATCGTTGACAGAATCAAATTCCATTGTAGTAGTTTCGTAGTTGTCAAACTCGCCAAGAATGTCATCATCATCAGAGTCACCAGAGCCAATATCACTCTTGTAGGCATTTGGCACAGCTTCACTACCATGGCTGTGTGTCTCGGCCTCTGGTTTTTTAGCCGCAGCAGAACTACGGAGGGCACGGGTGGCCGTCATGGACGAAGCAGGTTCTTTCTCCTTCCTTGCTAGGCGCTCCTCAGCAACGGTAGCCTTTGCCAGTTCAACAGCAGGGGGGATCTTGTTTAAGGCACCGTCAACAGAGTTCTTGAAGTTCTCCACCAAGTTCTCAAGGACCGGATATTCGGTCAAGTCAATAGTGAACAGGACTTTCATTAGGTTTTGAATGGTATTTGGCTTTTCTTCCAAGTCGGCAATTTGCTCGTCCATGAGCCTGTCGGAACGACCCATCCACTCTTCCTCATCTCCATTGAGAGCACCATGGTCATGGCCAAGGCCGGTCTCACCAGAAGTAGTAAAGTCCATCTCCAACAAAGTATCGGCAACTTTTGCGGTAACCAAACCGGCTCCATCGGCCTACAAATCCAGAAGAGCAGTTTTCATGAAATATGCAGAAAAGAAAAGGCACGGTTAGAAACGCAGGGGATCTAGAGGCGTCTCATGTACGCGGAGATTTGATCCAAGAAAGCTGTCTATTGCAGCAACGTTGTCCCAAGAAGAAGCCATTGATGTAAAATATGCCAACCTTTACTCGCGTACCGGTACACCACTTACCGGTTGCGCCAAGATGCATCGAGGCAGCACCGCCAAAATGGCGACAAAAAGGACTCTCATTGTCTGTTTGCTTTCGTCTGTTTGCTTTCGTCTTTCGCAACGTTGGTCGAAAAACAAATTTGTGTTACCTTTTTCACGTTCGAACAGATCTATCTGATGAAGAGGAAGCGATCTTTGGCCAGCCCACCAGATGTTGTGATATCTTGTGATCACACCGCAACCCTAAGAAGTGAGCATCAGCTTTCCTCCCTGGTATGTCCGTCCTTAAATCATCTCAATTAACGACTGGCGCCAAAGCCTATGTCTTTGATATCAATAAAAGATCGGGTGCAAGATGTGTTGCGAGCACGACAAACCAGCAAAGCAGCCAAGCCCTCGAGGATTTCACGTGGGCCCTGCACCGTACCGTACGGAATGGCGTGGCTTAGGTACGGTATACCGTACCGTACCGCACGCAGTGGGAACGGAAGTCAAAACCTCATCTACGCCACTTTTCACCTGCCATATGTGCTGGCGGTGCGTTGTTCTTGTGGAATTACTACAGGGAAAGACGGATTTTCTTCCGAGCACCTCGGATTTTCTTCCCAAGCCCTTTTGGCCAATTGAAAACGAAGCCGTAGTATAGTTGGATGCCGCTTTGCAATTGTTGGATGCGTTGCATGACGGTTCTGGTGTGCTCACTCTCCGGTCTCCAGCAGACGACGTCCTGTCTCTCGATCATACCAGGACCGTATGGTACTGGCTAGCTCTAGCTACGTGAGGCTGGTGGTCTCTCGTGTGGACCCCTTTCAGTACGGTACTGAACTATACATGTAGTACCTGTAGACTACCTCAAATCGCATCGCTGTTAGAATGCCAATCATGCAGAGGGAGGAGAAGGGCAACACCATCGTCGCGAACAGCCAACGCCAACAAGAAGATCACAAACTCCCACATACAGGCAACGATGCCGACGGTCTTTGTCCTCGACCTAACCTACCGTGCCATACTGCAATGCGTATCCATACGATACCGTACAGACAACTACATCGATCGAACAGATCAACCGATGTCAACTATATACACTCCCACAGTGATCGACCAGCAAAACCCCGTTCGTCAATTCTGCTTTTCCTCGCACAATTAACTGACTTCTACAACCGGCGACAACACAAAAATACACCCCTAGCCTGCAGTCAAATCTAGTCGAGTCAGAGTCGACCGATCGATTTTCTGTTTGCTCAAGAAAATCTCGTTGCAGATCATAGCAACATCCAATCGCCAAGAATTTAAAATTGCTTGATAGCCACAGTCTGGCGCGGTTCCATCGGCATCAACAAGGCTCCTTCCGTCGTCTCTCCCTTGACCTCACTTCCCACGGAATGCTTCTCTCACATTGCCACGTTCTTGGATTTTGACTCCTTATTGCTACGGTATCCCTCCGAACCACGGGAAACAAACAAGCTCAAGAAGCCTGTGGAAGCAGTGCTGTTGGATCGGCCGGGCCTTGGCAGTCTTGCCCATGACGCGAAACGAAAGACAGGAAAAGATGAGTTTGGCTATATTATTATACCCTCAGATCTCCCAATAAATGAAACTGAGCGTTGATTTCTCCAACCAGTGGCAAACGTTGGAAGGTGTCGTGGAGAAGGCTTATTTAGAACATGCATGCAGAACCGAGATTCATGTATTTTGATGTAGATGTTGCAGACCGTCCCGTGATTTCGGACGGCATTTAAATTTGCAAGAGGGTATTGCGAGGCAAGGAAATGTTGGGGTAGCTATGGACGCCCGTACGGTGGCGGCGCGTATGGTTGGTGTTCCCATGTGTCCCATGCATGTCAATGAAACAATCACCCCACTTCAGGCTTGGCAGGCGGTGTTGGCAACGTTCCTGCTCCTCGGGCGATTGATTCGAGGTGCGCGGATTTTGGGAGGCGCGTATTGGGGACCGGAAGACTTTTCGGAGATCCGAGCTCGGTTGATTCCATTGCTTCAGGCTGCCTTTGCTCTTCTCATTCAGGCATCCTCCGTTGTCTTTTCTCGTGTCCAATTTGATGAAGAGACGCCGCATAGAATGCGCCACTGGGGAGAAGAAGGCACCATTCTCATCGAAACAACCAACGGGCAAAAGGTTCAGATGGAATACTGCCGCATTGATTTTGAAGATGAACCTTGGGTTCCGAAACCTTGCTTTTTCCCGAGCTTAGTTTGAGATCATATCGTAACAGACAGAAACACACAAAGAAGGAAGAAGGGAAAGGGATGGATCACACTCTTGCCCAAATCACAAATGAAGCAAAGCACTACCAGGGATGGCAGGGTTGCGGAGTCGTTTATTTAAGTTAGAAAAAGTATGAAGTACGTGTACCGTACCGTAGACAGCCCAACCGACCGGCCTGTTGCGTGAAGAAGCCATACCGGTACCGCTTTACCAACATGCTTCTTGGGGTCGACGTGGGCAGGAAGCTCCGGCACTGTGAGGCTTGGTCTTGGCCTGCGCCAAAACGAATATTCCCAGGCCCAATCGCAGCATTGGAAAAAGACGAACCGCTTTTGAGGGAAACTTTATAGTATAATTTATCACAGCACAAAGATCATATGCAGTCAAAGGGAGGTAGGCGATGGGACATATCACTACGCAATGTAAATCCGGTAGTATGGGACACCTCAAAGTGGGTGTCGTTTCATCCCTCGTGGTAAAACGCATACCTGCATTTTCGCTCGCCAAAGCCGTTCCTGACAGAAAATTGTTGCGTCTTTTGGCTTGCCAAGCTCCCGTTCAGAAGGCTGAGTGAGTCGGGCACTGCAGCCACGTCTCCCCACTGTACCTGTCGGCTCTCAAGTGGTTTGAATTTCTCGAGCTCCGCATTGACCAAGCCCAGGTCACGCGTTCTGGCACTCAGTTTAGACCTTGTTGATGAGAGATCACATTCCGTTGATGCCAGGGTTTCCTTGGTGTTTTCCAACTCTAGTTTTGTGGATGAAAGCTTTGATTGGGCATCCCTCAACGATTTCAACAAGAGATCCACCAAAAAGGCAGCTTTCCGGTCCTTCAATAGCAGGGCCATAGCATCATCTGGTGACACCAAGGACTCCCAGTTCTGTGCCAGGGAATCAGAGCATCGCTCCTGAAGCTGGGATAGTTCCTCTGCGGAATCCTTGGCAGCCTTGTCATCCAGTGAACACAATGTAAGAGCAGGATGGGCATCAATCTGAGGGGTGATTTCAAGGCAACTTAGGGCCTGGAACGTTTCCAGATCCAAGGCACAAGGATTGTGCTGAGCAAACTTGGCCATGAGCTTGCTGATGTGCATGATAGTCTCTGGAGACTGGGGGCTGTGCTCCAATGCATTGATCCACAAATCCGGGCTTGAGATTTGCAAAATGTGAGCAGATTCATCAATCTTCAAGCTGTTTTCTCCCAAGAACTTGGCTAGGATACCAAGGATGGTTTCATTTTGGAACAGCATGGCATGCTTATAGTAGATGTCAGCATTGTCTAATGAAATATTCTTCTTGCAGAACTGCAATGCATCCCATCTTAGGTGGTGGATGTCCAAGTATTCTCCAAGGTAGTGCAATGCTGTGGCAGTCTTTGTCTCAACCTGGAGTGGCTTGTCGTGTTCATAGAGATAATCCAAGAGAGCAGGAAATGCAGTTGCTGCCAAAGAGTCTAGCTCCAGCTCGGTGGTGCATGACTTCCCTTCCTGAAAGCTGGAACTGTTTTGGAAGAGCTTGGCAAAATACTTGCTGTTCCGACGACCACAGGTTAGCAGGAACTTGTGAACATGGTAGGGAACCTGGTAGGTAGCTTGTGGAGTCTCTTCTTCGTCTGGTGTCTTACTGATGACAACAATCTTCCAGTCACTGAATGTTTCGGCGGGATCTCCACGCCAGGTCTGTCCTCGATTGCTCTCATTCGTTGGTGGTGGCCCTTCCTCGGAAATCTGGAATCTCTTTGCTTTCAGGCTAGCAGCCCCTTCTCCTCCATTTTGTGTTGTTTCCTCCTTGGCTGATGCCACTGTTGCTCTTTCAATGCAAGATGCAGTTTCTGTTGTGCAGTGGTCCGCCGACGGTATAGATGTGGAAGAGACAAAGACGAGACCTGAAAATTTCGCGACCGGCCGTGTAGCTTTGTCAGCTGCTGGCCACCCAGAAGAGACGAGACTTGAAAATTTCGCCACCGTACCTGCTAGCTGCTACATGTGGCAGGCTACCCAGAGAGATTTGGAAGAGAGAGAAAGACAAGACCTGAAAATTTTGGCCAAATGCAGGACCTTCCTGGTTCCAATGACACACACGACCTCCGTAGTCCGAGACCCTAACGTGATTGAATGACTCCAACACAAAAAGAAGGGAAAGGGATAGACTGCACGGGCTGGCTAGGATGGCAAGCTCAAGGGGTCGGTTCATCAACATAGCATGTATAGCTACTAACATCATTTGAGAAAGTTAAAGGAGTTGTGGCTGCCCAGCTAGAAACGGTCCTTCTTGTAGCATCAAAAACTCGCACGCCCATCAAAGACGATGCCATTTTTGCACAATTTAAGATGTTGGGATGGCTCAAGCCAATCCGTTTTGTTTCACCTAGAGGAGTAAGGTTATACGATTTTAGCGACAACGTAGTATGATGGTGGGTACCTCTAAGCACCGAAACTCTTGGCACAAAAATAGCGGGAATTCGGGAGCTCTGACCTCCTTAGTACTCTTCATCTTCGAATTCATCATAGAGGAAAATACAATGGGGAAAGGATCTGCCATAGGGGCAATACTGATCTCTCTT